CATCAATTTTCCAAGTGATGCCAAAGAATAATTTGCGTCCTCTTCATTAAAACGATGTTGGGCTCACGGTCCTGACACCTTTGAAGGAAAAGCAACAGCATCGTCCTGTTCATGATTAAGAACAAAACAGCAGCAGAGGAGCTGATGACATTTCTCCATGGACATCAGCCGGGCCGAGCGTGCCAAGACGGTTTGATTTTATTATTTTTTTTAATCTTTTTTTTTTTTTTTTATGACAGCACCGTCTAGTTTTTGAGGAAGCCTATTACTGTCCTCCCACACACCCCCATCAGTAGCAGGCACACCACGACCTCAGTAACCCTCCACACACACACACACACACCCTGAGAGTGACGTAGTGCTACTGCCATCAAGTGGCTGCATTCACACACTGCAGCTACTGGAAAGTTTTTTTTTTCTGGACAGTATACTTTTATTTTTAGCTTTCGAGCAGACCATGGTCTCTGTTTTTGCTGTGGTTATTTCCAGACTTTTACTTTCAAGTGCCTGCTGCCACCGTCTGAAACTATCTTGGAGATTAACTTCAGAATCTCCAGCCACAACTAGGTCATCTGCATACAACTTTTTTTTTTTTTTTTTCATTCAACCTTTAATTAGACAGCTTAATCCCAATGAGCCTCAGGGACTCAATTACAAGAGAGACCTAAATTTTTAACAAAGAGTGATGACAACAGTGGACAACAACGGCAACAATAGACAATCATAAAAGTTGCAAACAATTTTTTTTTTTTTAACATGTGAAAATAAAATGACAACCAAAAGGAAACGTAGCAAAAAAAAAAACAAAACAGCTAGATTATAAGGTGGTGTAGAAAACTAAAAACAGGAACATGTCTGCATTGGTTCTTGCCAGGAACAGATGTTTGAAGCCACTTAGAGAGGTCAAGGTCGAGAGCTTCAGATCTTTCTGCAAGATATTCCAGGAAACAGGAGCGGAGTAGGATTTTTCCAAGTTCAGTCCGCACTGAGGGAACACTGCAGGTAATAATGTCCTGAGAGCGCACGCTGTAGCTGCACTCACGCAGAGACATGTAGGAGGAGATGTATGAAGGCAGCAGACCAAGAAGTGATTTAAAGATGAAAATGTACCAGTGAGAGAGTCTACGTGAAGTTAATGATGACCAGTTAACCAGTGAATACAGGGTGCAGTGGTGGGTACAATAGGTACAGCCAGTTATGAATCTTAGTGCACCGTGATAGACAACATCCAGCATCTGCAGGGTGCTTGTAGGAGCATTCATGTAAACAACCAGACACCCAGAGTCTGGAGGAAGAGAGGGGAGGCACAGAATCCACATTGCTTGAGGTTCAGTGTCAAGTTTCCACAGTCAGTGATGGTTTGGGGTGCCATGTCATCTGCTGGTGTTGGTCCACTGTGTTTTATGAGGGACAAGGCCAACGCAGCTGTCTACCAGAAAGTTTTAGATACTTCCTGCTGCTGACCAACTTTAAGGAGATGCAGATTTCATTTTCCAACAGGACTTGGCACCTGCACACAGTGCCAAAGCTACCAGTACCTGGTTTAAGGACCATGGTATCCCTGTTCTTAACTGGCCAGCAAACTCACCTGACCTTAACCCCATAGAAAATCTATGGGGTATTGTGAAGAGGAAGATGTGATGCACCAGACCCAACAATTCAGAAGAGCTGAAGGCCTCTATCAGAGCAACCTGGGCTCTCATGACACCTGAGCAGTGACACAGACTGAAGGACTCCATGCCACGCTGCATTGCTGCAGTAATCCAGGCAAAAGGAGCCTCAACTAAGTATTGATGCTGTACATGCTCATACTTTTCATCTTCATACTTTCCAGTGGGCCAACATTTCTAAAAATCCTTTTTTTAAATTGGTCTTAAGTAATATTCTAATTTTCTGAGATACTGAATTTGGGGTTTTCCTTAGTTAGTTATAATCATAAAACATCAAAAGAAAGAAACATTTGAAATATATCAGTCTGTGTGTAATACATGAATATAGAAGTTTAACTTTTAGAAAGGAATTCTTGAAGTAAATCAACTTTTTCATGATATTCTAATTTTATTATTTAGCATACCATTTAGCGTTTGTTTAGTTTATGTCTTAGATCCTTATAAACCGTTTCTTTTTACACTTTACATTTTCGCTATTTCTGGGTGTGACTGGAACCCTGAGTAAATTATTTTGTTCCACCTCATGTACCACGTGATGTGAACCATAAAGAAACTTGAACTTAATTTAGTTCCAGCTGTCCCAGTGTTGACAAAAAACAAGTACAAATTTTGCCAATGCAGGGAAGTGAACGGCTAAACGATTTACAATAAAGTATTTTCAGCTCTTCCTCTGTGTGTTGAAGGGATCAAGCAGCATTGTCTTCTCTGCTTCATCAAAATTTTGTAATTTATAAACAAGTACAAATTAACTACAAACCGGATTCCAAAAAAGTTTGGACACTAAACAAATTGTGAATAAAAACTGAATGCAATGATGTGGAGATGGCAAATGTCAATATTTTATTCGTAATATAACATAGATGACAGATCAAAAGTTTAATCTGAGTAAATGTAACATTTTAAAGAAAAAAGATGATTCAAAATTTCACAGTGTCAACAAATCCCAAAAAAGTTGGGACAAGTAGCAATAAGTGGCTGGAAAAAGGAAATTGAGCATATAACAAACAGCTGGAAGACCAATTAACACTAATTAGGTCAATTGACAACATGATTGGGTGTAAAAAGAGCTTCTCAGAGTGTCAGTGTCTCTCAGAAGCCAAGATGGTAAGAGAATCACCAATTCCACCATTGTTGTGCAGAAAGATAGTGCAGCAATACCAGAATGGTGTTACCCAGCATAAAATAGCAAAGACTTTTAAGTTATCATCATCAACCGTGCATAACATCATCAAAAGATTCAGAGAATCTGGAACAATCGCTGTGCGTAAGGGTCAAGGAACGTCACTGCACCTCAAACAGGAATGCCACTGTCAAGGAAATAACAGAATGGGCTCAGGAATACTTCCAGAAAGCATTGTCAGTGAACACAATCCACCGTGCCATCCGCCGTTGCCAGCTGAAACTCTACAGTGCAAAGAGGAAGCCATTTCTAAGCAAGCTC